ATATTATTGACTTGAATTGTATGGTGTTGGCTGCAACCTAATGAGCCAGTGGAACTGCTGAGGGTTTTGTTGCTCTTTTAGGGTCCGTTTTCCAGTTTCTGAGCCTACGGCCTTCTTCACACATTACGTTACATCAGATTTGAGTTTGCATTCTTGAAACCTAGCAGTAAGCCCATGATAGGACTCATCAGCATATCTCATCCATATCTCATCCGTTTCACCATTTTCTCAAAAAAACCTTGATAAGAACTAGCCACATCTCATCTCATCTCCCCCAGCTAACTGTGATGAAAGAGGTTCCAGTGACAAACTTTGTATGTTCACCAACCTAGAATTCCATAGGTCAGGCATGGCCAAACTTGGCCCTCCAGCTGTTTTTGGGACTACAATTCCCATCATCCCTGACCACTGGTCCTGTTAGCTAGGGATGATGGGAGTTGTAGTCCCAAAACAGCTGGAAGGCCAAGTTCGGCCATGCCTGCTCGGATAAAGGACAGCCTAGAAATGTCAATAGTAAAAACTGCATCCAGGTTTCTCCCCAAATGTAGATAACTTTGCCCTTATCTCATTTCCACTTTCTGAGATAATTAATTCATTAGGTTGAATCCCAACAATCATTGCATGGAAAAAATGACTTCTGTTCATGCAACAAAACCTCTCCTCCCCATGTTCCCCCCCCACTCCAAATCTGCTCCCGAGGATTGGGGAAACCTGTAGAGCAAGTAGATGGGAGGAGGGTGTATGGAGAGGAACCTCCTCTGCAAAGTCACTCATGCAATGACTTTGTTGGGAAAAAGACCATTGTACATAATTTTTATTATTCTTTACATTCCTGATGCTTCTTCATTTGGTGACCATCTACAGTTTTGATCAACGCACTCCTAGTTGCATTTCCCAACTCACTAAAAATAAATTTTACTTTTAGCAAACTTTTTTTGACCCAATTCGTACATACATCAATGGCACCACCAAATTCTTTCTCATTCTTACAGTTCAATGTTGTGACCCAACATGTTCATATCTGTTCAGGATTCCAGTAATCCCTGTGAGATTCCTAGCAAGTTTCTTTTGAGCTATTGAGCTGGGGAGACATGCAGGTGGTTACTCTTGAATTCAACTGGAAACTGTTGCATGTCGTCAATTCAAGAAAAGAAACTAGATCTGAAATAGTATTCCACTTGACTCATTTGGAAGAAAATAAATTTGACCAAACTGTTAAAAATAAGCCTGCTTATTTCACTGATCTTCTGAATTTCACTGATCTTCTGCCACATATCTAATAGTTAAAGGTAAAGGACTATGGATGGTTAAGTCCAGTCAAAGGTGACTGTGGGGTGCAGCACCCATCTCGCTTCAGGCCAAGGGAGCCGGCGTTTGTCCACAGACAACTTTCTGGGTTATATGGCCAGCATGACTAAACCGCTTCGGGTGCAATGGAACACAGTGACAGAAGCCAGAGCTCACAGAAACGCCATTTACTTTCCTGTTGCAGCGGTACCTATTTATCTACTTGCAGTAGTGTGCTTTCAAACTGCTAGGTTAGCATAAGCTGGGACAGAGCAATGGGAGTGGGTGTAGGCCCCACACCCCCTCTCATTGCTTCTTATTATCATGTCCCGTTCGTTTTCTTTGTCCTGAATGGTACCATAGCCTAGAATCTAAGAGAGACTGCAATTTTCCTTGTACTGATACAGTGACAGATTGAAGAAAGGTGGCATGTCCAGAAATTGCTTCCACTCATGTTCATGCTGTTTTTGTAGGGCTGTTAAGACAACACTGTCCAGAAGGAAAGTACCGCATGCATGTGGATGAAAAATGTAAAACAAATAAATAAACCCAGCTTCTACAAGTTGAAAAAGAGGAAAGAGAATCATGACAGATCTCCACCCCCGACCCCCGTTTCAGCCAAAGCACTTTGAAGGCTTATCGCTTTTGCTTTTTGCCTCTGTAATACTTCTGAAATGTATAACAAAACAAGTTTTTGCAAAGACACCATCAATCTTCGAAAGAAACTGGTTTTGTAGAGCATGTTACTAGATCTGCTAGTGTGTCTGTACACACATGCATATGAAGCCATATCTTACATGCATGTACACGGACAGTGCTCACACTACTACATATGGGACCTTTACCATTATGTGCTGCAGATAGGATTGAATTAGTTGTGACAACCTTGGCTCACTCTGGAAAATTAGGCAGTCATCAATATGAACCAAATATGAGTGTGCTTTTTCCAAACAGCTGGCAGTAACCACACCAGAGTTGCAATTGCGGTATTTATGGAAGATTAAAATGGTTTAAGGGTAGAGTGGCTTTTGCAGCTTGAAATGCCATTACAGAAATATTAAGAGAGGGTTAATAATGATACATTACATGGGCTACCCAACCCGTGTGGCCTGAGATACTATTGCAAAGGTAAGAGAGAAATGGCTCAAGGTGAACAGTTGTCTGATATGGAAGTGGGTGGATGAACCCAGTTTTGCTAGGAAGCAGGAAAGATTCAGACAGGGGGAAGGCCACATACAATGGACTAGCTTTTTCCAGTCTCTTTCTGTCATATGCAAATTTGCATTGTATTTTGCTGGTGGCACACAATCAGGAGCCATGCAAAAATATTAAGATGCCTGACAGAAAGAAGACATGTTTGGGTTTCCACCTGAACACACAACAGTTTAAAAGCAGGAAGAGGCGCACTAGTGTGTGCACACTCCCCACCTCAATGTTCCTGTGGTCACTCAGTCCCAACCCTATGCCTAGTGTGAGAGATCTGCAGGGAGCTTTTGCATATAGAAACGTCGCCATCTGAACCTTGGTTACTTACTAGGCAAGGTGGACCAATGGCCTGACTCCATAGAAGGAATGTCCACATGTTAATACATTGTTGACAGGTCATCTGACAAATGGTAAATTGCCAAGAACAGACTAGGTGACTACAAGTCACTAACAATCTCAGATGAACCGGTCAATGGACTCCATCTCAAAAGCATTTCAGAGATGTTAAGGACAATGCTATACATGTTTGAAATATTGTTTTCCACAGAGTCAGCAAAAGAGAGTGGCAAGGAGAAATTATTTCATAATTGCATCAGCCCCCTTTTTTTATTACATGTCATTTCATTACTCCCTGTTATTACACATATTTGCCCTTTGATACAGATCAAAAAGTGCATCTGTTAAGGAAATTAATGAGTCAATCAACTGCTTTACTGAAACTCCAGCCCCAGAGTTCAGCTTCTACACATGGTGACACTGAAGAAATAGAAACACAAAGACCTATATTTTGTGTAGAGAGCAATGCTCCTCCCGAAAAAAGATTTCCCCCTTCCTTGACATATTCCAAAGGCTAAGATAGATGATTAGTGGGGCTGGGTGCATTCTGACAACCCATGCAGACTTTCTCCCTGTTTAGATTGTGGAGGTAGTTCAACACATTGTCTACAGAACCTACCATCAAGCTGGGTGTTGATTTTTCTCATCATGGGCATTCAGGCAATTTGTGCTCATGGCAACCCTATGCACATGACAACCAGTTCACCACACACACATTTTAGTTGTGGAAATCCCCTCCTCCCGCAACCATACATAGGCATTAAGGCTGAAAAGCAAGCAAGACATTTCAGATAGCCATATTACAGTCATGTCAAGAAGGGTCATTTATGTACAGCATCCCTATTATTGCTCACCCTTTTGGCTAGGATCTATGCACCACAGATCACCACATCAGCTAGGCAACTTACCTCCTTGCATCCAGTATGTGGGGTTGTAGACATGGCACTTCTGTCTGAAGTACTGAATAGATGGCTGGTGTGCTATCTAACGTTTTGATTGATCCCTTGTGTGACCAGCGGGAGTACTAAAAGTCATGGCATTTTATTTGTGCTTGATTTTGAAATCCAAAATGGAAGTTTGAGTAGTCACCGCTTACTGGTTGAGTCTTTTAAAAAACCTGAGTACAGCTAATCCACAATTTCAAAATCATGAGCTTTAAGATCAGGTTAAGTGTGAAGTTACTTCTATCACCACGTTGGCTTTTCAGTCTGTCTTCATGTTGTATATTATGTGTAAAATTATGATAATTAAAAAATGTGCTATAAAAAGTGAAGGGGGGGAGATAAAAATGCTGTGAATCTAAAGATTAGAACAAGCTTTTTAAAAGCCCCTGAAGACTTTTGTCCTGCCAAAAGGCTGGATATTACATTCACTGAACATGTCAGTCAGAAAAAAGGTGTGTGACCCTACCCAAGTTTAATTCTTTTCAGCGGGGTTTAGTATTGCAGTCTAGAATAAGCAGGTTTCCTTGCATCCTTTTGGACAGCCATGGGGAGCCATCAGCCACTGCAGATGCTGCTGGACTGCAATTCCCATTATCCCTGGCCATTGGTCACACTGGTTGCAGCTGATGGGAGTCCAAAACCATCAGCTCCAAAAACATCCATGCAAGGGAAGTTGGCAAAACAGGTATAATGCGTCAAAAGGTGAAACCTGCCCTTCAAAACCAAAGTATGACCTGGGATATCTCAGCTGGTAGATGTCATTGACTGGCTCCCTGAGTTTAGGGCATGAGACTCTTAATCTTAGGGTTGTGGGTTCGAGGCTCACATTGGGCAAGAGATTCCTGCAAAACAGAGGGTTGGACTAGATGACTAGTTGTGGTCCTTTCCAGGTCTACAATTCTATGATTCTGCGAGAACCTGTAGCCCTCCAGATTTCTTTTTGGCCCTCCAATTCTCATCATTCCCAGCAAATGCATTGGTCACTGATGACTGGAGCAATGTGTGGAGTGCTGCAGGTTTAGAGCCTCTGGTATAGCTTATACTGGTTCAAAAACCATCCTAACATTGGCATTGCTGGCTAGGGATAAATGGGATGAGATAGGATTATTTGTGTGCATGAATGGTGGAAGTAAGAATATTCTTTTGATTCCTTTCTAAACTTGTATGTAGCTGCTCCTTGAGTATACTGTATGATACACTTAAGAGAAATCACATTGTACAAAGAGAGAAAAACACATAACCTTTTTATTATTAAACCTCTGGTGAAAACGTTTCACATGACATCCCTTTTTAAAAAAATGTAAACCAACCTAGCTATGGGTCAGGTACATTATACAGATTGCATCCAGTATTTTAAAGATGCCTAAATATCTTGTTGGAGTATTTACATACTTTATCCATTAGGTAGTAAAGTTTCACTGCAACTGATAAATCTTCTAGCACATAGTTTATTCCGTGGCAAGATAGTGGGGATGACTGTGTATATAAAAGCTCATGTCCAGATAGACAGGTAGGGTCAATTTCTTTTCCTGAGAAAACGTTTGTTCTTGAAACTTGTACTTTATAAATCAGAAACACAGAAGAATGTTTTCTGTTACAGTAAAAAAAAAAATTGCAACAAAAGGATGCCTAGTTAACTTTTTTCTTTTAAATTATTTACGTACCATTAAGTTAAAATGTTTACATTCATTCCATTCATTCATATAAAAACTGTTGTTAAATCTTATGCTGATGATTTAACACTGATTGCTGCAAGACAAATTGCACTTTTTATATAAAAAACAAAATTATTGTATATATGGAAGGGGGAGAAAAAAATCTGAATGCTACCCTGTTTACAAAGTCTGACTGACTACATACAGTTCAGCCACAACATAGACGCTCTGTCCTCCTCCATCACAGTATATGTTAAAAACAACAATGCAAATGTTAGAAACGAAAGTTCTCAATAGCCAGTTCTAATGGGAGAAGGGGGGGTACCAAAATGTGTTTCTTTCCTTCATTCGGCTGTATTGGAAGTCTGCTTCAGAAAAGCTACTCAGAAATGGGGGCGTGTCGTGAGTGGAAGGCACTAGCTGAAACACTGACCTGCAAGAGGAGATTGCCTCAAACTATCATGTTCAATATATGCTCACTTGTTGCTTAGCTCTTCTGTGTTGCTCTATAATGCAAGCTTTGCCTACTTTGTCTTACAATAATATCAACACCAATCAGATCTTGGATGTTGGTCGAGTGGGAATGGGGAGAAAAATACACAATCCACAAATACACAAGGCGGCACTGGTGGTTGTGGTGAAGATGTAGCAACAGTGCAGATGGGCACTCCTTGTTGAGCTAAGAGAAGTGGTTTGGACTCCTTTGGTTGTCTTGCATAGCTGAGGACCTGGGCAATCAAGCAGAGACCATGAGAAGGAAAAAAACACCCCCCCTTCTCACACACACACACACACGCTAGAATCAAGGCACAAAAATGACTGGCAAGGAATGTCCTTGTCATCATAGTCACCGCTTCTTGGGACAAAAAACAAACAAAAACAAAAAACACAAGTGTTGCTGGCTGGCTGATGCCCAGTGCATGGATCCAGCACCACTGACTCATCGCCACTTCATGCTAGAGCCAAGGCACACCAGGAGGAATCCTGTCTCACAGAGGCCGTGACTTCTGCAGTGGAGGTCAAGCTGACGCCTGGATACAGCCCTTCCTGGCCGGAATATTTGAGTGTGCTAGTCTCGGGACTGCTGGCATTCTCTCCCCGGCCGGACATCACTGAAGAAACCGCCTGCAGCAGAAGGAAAGCAAGCAAAAGCTGTAAAGTAGCACATATTTATCAAGGAAAAGCAAATCTGCCTGGCCAAGCTGGGGGACTTCTGACACAATCACAGGAATTACTACCCATCCACTCATTCGGCTGAGAAGTGATGAGAACATCATTCAGTTTGAAGAAGTGGTGTGAAACATGCATGAAGTGAATCAGTTCAGTGTCTTTGGGTTAGTACAATAAAATAGCAGTAAGCCACACAATATTAGTACAATAAAATAGCAGTAAGCCACACAAAACCAAACCATAGCTTAGCAGGACTGTATAAGTATTCCTGGAGAGGAACTTACAACCGCTTTGCTCCCCCTGGTATTTTTCATTGACATGATGTGGTGAACTAAACCAAAGTATTGTCTGAAATAGGGCTCATAGTTAAGCTCCCTTCTCACTAAAGGTGAGCTATAACCAAGGTTTCTTCGGCTAAGCAATAGTTTAGCTTAGCATAATATGCGAACCAGGCAAAAAACATAACTCAAAATGGTCAGTAAAGCTGGCATGAAGGATATATGTATGAAGCTTTTCACCAACTAGTGAAGCAACAGCAGCATATGTGCCTGGAATATTTCTAAAGGAAGGTCATTTCATAGTTGTGGGGGGCTACCACAGAGAAGGCCCTTCTTCCATTAGATGTATCTCCACTAGGAACAGTGTAACTAGATGGGGCCAATGAGGACAATCTCAATTAATGGGATGTTCTATAAAGGAGGAGCCACTCTCTTAGATAGCCTGGTCCTAAGCCATATGGGGTCTTATCAGTAGACAACAAATCCTTAAACTTGGCTTGGCAGTGAATAGGCAGGCAGTGCAATTCCTTCAGCACTGGTGTACTTTATGTACACAGTCAAGCACAGTACTCTGCAGGAGAAGGTGCCCTATAGATTTCATCAGGAAGTCTGTTCCCTGTGATGTAGGAATCAGACTTCTAATGTGGTGGCACCTAATCTTCAGAATCCCCCTCCTTCTCCCGTCTCATTATAGATCAGACAGACACAATCTTTCTTGTCTTTATGGCACCTATATGTTTACTCTCAAAAAGCCTGTTTAAGTGGTGGATTTTATACCAGTTGTTATTTGTAAGGGCCTTAAATTGTATTTGTATCTGTTCTATTGTTAATGTGAACGTTGTTAATTAACTAGACAGACAAACAAACAAAATGTTCAGTCAGATGCTCCAATGAGCATTCCAACAACCACAACTGATCCCCAAGGGTAGTCGCTAAAAAAGAATCCCCCAAAAGCTGCAGTCATCCCAATCTTTTTGATTTTCACAATAATGTATTATAGCAAGGTGTTCCAAATTGCTAAGATACTGCATGATTCTCCAGCTTCCTTCCTTCCTTCCTTCCTTCCTTCCTTCCTTCCTTCCTTCCTTCCTTCCTTCCTTCCTTCTTTCCTCCTGCTTTTTTTAAAAGCACAATTCAACATCAAACCCTATTTTAGGCCCAAGGAAAACATGTGAGTGGTTTTATCACTGGCGCAGTGCACAGAGTGTGGTTGTGCGTGACAGAAAATGGGTCTGGGCTATATGACAACTGGCGGTGAGTATTCAAAACATAGTATCAGTGTGAATTCCAGAAGCTGGCCTTGGGACAAGAGATAAGAAACGGGAGTGGGGAAGGACAGGCAGGCTGCTGTGACGAATTATGTACCTAGTGTGGCCTCGCCCAGCCTGGCGCTCTGTAGACTACATCTCCCATGGCTGCTGTGAGTTGTAGTTCAAAACACCTAGAGGGCACCAGGTTAGGGAGACATGATTGAGCAGGGAGTGACAATGACGGTTTAAAACAAAGTTTAAGTACAGCAAGAAGGGAGTTTGGAAAGGCTCTGTTGTGTTAACCTTTGGTATTTGCTTCTGTGTTGTACCCATAGCTGCTATTTCTTCTCAAAGACACGCCATAGAAGCGTTTCGGCTAAACGTGTTGCAAACTTTGTATGAGAAATCGGGTAAGCAAAAACGGAACTCCACAGCACCATCTGGTGTCACAGTATTAGAATGCATAAACAATGCATGTAAAGCGTTTTTTCTTTGCCAATGTAGTTGAGTCCCTTGTTAACCGTCCTCCCCTCTCCCCCCAACATTTTTTTTGGGGGGTGGCCTTTCAAGTTTTTACAGATGTGATGTGTCACTTTACACAAATTATATGCTTAATATGTTTGCTTGGTATGGATTTCTTTTATAGAAAGGATATTGCGGTTCCTAGCATTGTACTTTCAATGCCTGGAATGTGCTCTAATAGCGTAGCCACCAATATATTGCCTTTTCATTTATAAGTAATATGGATTTTAGTAGTTGTATTTTATGCCTGGGCATTAGGAGATTTTGAGATAGAGAATAGTAATGTGTCCTATACTTATAGATGACATATATATTATACTTACTTTAATAGATTTATTATGACTTTAAAATTTGTTGCATGGTGTGTTAAGAGCTTAGGTTCTTCTAGCAAAGAAACGGGTACTCTATAAACTAAAAAAAACTTAAAAGCTAATGTGGCATTATTACAGGAGACACATCTTTTGGTGGAAGATAAATATGGAATGTGTGGAAAAATTGGTAGGGAAAGTACTGTATTTTTCCGTCTATAAGACGCCCCCATGTATAAGGCCCCCTATTTTTGGGGACTCTGATTTAAGAAAATGGGGGAAGAGCCATTCGTGTATAAGACGCCCCCAAAGTTTGGACATTATTTTTTAGGAAAAAAGCCTATTCTTATACACGGAAAAAATACGGTACATGCTAGTAATCATTCTAAGCATTCTAAGGGTGTGGCTATATTGGACCTCATAGAAAATATCTGCTGGGGTTTGAGAAGGTGGTTGCAGCATGCAAACCCAAGAATTTTACTGAACTGGAACCAGTTGCTCTTGAGAAATGGGCCAAGATTCCTCAGGAATGCTGCCGGAAGCTGCTGTCTGGTTATGCATCTCGTTTGCAGCAGGTCATATCAGGAAAAGTTTGTTCTACTAAGTTCTAAATATGCTTGCCATGAAGGGGTTGAATAATAGTGAGACTGGAGAAGCCAGTATAAGTTGCAATTTCAGCTGAATTTGGGGAAACCACTTGAAGCATCTGTTGTGTCGAGCTATTTTAATTGCTTTTGTTTGATTTGCTCATTGCAAACAGCTGAAAGCCTGTAAATTTTGATAATAAACCTGATTTGCAATGGGGGTTGAATTATTTCGATTGCAGCTATATAATCATTTGGTAATAAGCATATGGAAGACAGATGCACAAGCAATAGGTATAGAACAGGCTTCCTCAACCTCAGCCCTCCAGGTGTTTTTAGCCTACAACTCCCATGATCCCAGGCTAGCAGGACCAGTGGTCAGGGATGATGGGAATTGTAGTCTCAAAACATCTGTTTAAAATGTGGCTTTGGGGGACAGCGAAAGTGGCTTAGACAGGAGTGTTTATGGTCCCACATCCACATATGATCACATATGGAAATGACTGGAGCCCAGTGAACATGGGGCAAAACTACAAATGACAAAGAGTGTATTGTCAGGTGTTGTCAGTGAGGAAGCAAAAGGCCAACTAACCTGCCTCTTGGATACATAGGAAAGGAAGTGGGTTGCAGCCCTGAAAGTTCTACCTTTCAAGAGAATTAAAATGAATTTGGGCTAAAAACTATTGCTGACAACATGAATTATACCAAATCTCTACATTGCTTGGAATCATTTGGCACCGTTGTCTAGAAAAGACGAATGAATCATTTCTGCACAAGCAAAGGAATGTGTTTTCTCTAATTGATTAATTCCCTTTTTGTGAACTGAAAAGTCTTCTAAAAAGTCTTCATATTCTTTTGTGCCAATTTGGAATTTTCCATGCTGCCAGAGATAAGAAGTATGGAAAGTTGCAGAAATGAAATATTACTGCAATCACTTAACTAGCAAGTGTATTTGGAGAATCGTGAGTGAAGTACTCGTATTGTGGCTTCGTGGTGGGTTATCATCTGCAGCATTTTTAACGTGACACCCTTCTTATCTATCCCTACATCCATCCTGAGGAGGATATTGGGATGAGAGACAGGCACACTAGTTGAGTGTCTCCCATCCCCATCGCGTCAATGTGCATGGCTCAGGTGTGAGGAGTGAAGTGCAGCCTTGGTTCCTGCCAACATCAGTGCACCAACCCAGCTCTCACCTTCTGACCTCCACAAATTCAGTAAAAATTTGAAGGGAGAGCCAGTGGTACTCACATAGACTTTTCCCTACAATGAGCAGCCCTGATCGCCCAAGGCTCCTTCAGGAATTCCCCCATTCAGAACTTAGTTGAACATATGGAAGTCAAAGCAACAGATCTGGCCAAGTGCACAGACATCAGAGGTGGAGTTAGGCAGGAGGAGCGACATCAGGAGCAAGTCCAGGATGTGTAACTAACTCCATCCTCCATGTGTGGCCAACATCTACAATCACAAAACAGCCTTACCATCAGGCAATATGAACCAGTCACTATAACAAGCCATTTACAGGTGTGAACTGTGAGCCCTGGGAAAGTAATAATTCAAGCACACGCACATTTCTATGGAACGGGTCCCTTCCGTTTCTACAGTCCAGTCAGGGGCACGATAGGTAGGACTGCATTATCTCATTTTCACGTGGTTTGTATTAGCAAATACTGGGGATTAGGTCAATATGCTACTGGTTAATGATTGCTGTGGGAAATCCTAGTGCTACATACAGTAGGGTTTCTTGAAGCAGATGTGTAAAAGTGCAAAAGTAATAGTCATATGTACAATTCGCCTTTAAACAATGTGTACATGTATTTGGGAAATCTAGACAAATCAAATTTTCCAGACAGGAGTGTCTGGATGTTTAAAGTTGTGCCCACACATCTTTTACCATCCCAATTCTGTGTGTTTCCTACAGGTAGCAATGGCTTTAGTCCCGGAAACAAACAAACAACCTTACAGCTGTGTTTCTTACTGCTCTGACAAACATTTCTCATGGTGTTCGTCCTGGTCACTATTTTTATCTTCATCTACCACTACACACACATCTATCATCTATATCTATCTATCTATCTATCTATCTATCTATCTATCTATCTATCTATCTATCTATCTATCCCCCATTGTGCAATTAAAGCCATTCACCAGCACTGACAATAATTCCTTCTTTCCATTATTTTCCATGACCTTGACAGCTCCACCACCACCTCCAATCCTCAGCAAGTGTTTCACAACTCCACAAATGTGTTTCAGGCAATCTGCTTGATGCACAACTAAGGACATATCTATGTTTGGTTGGTGTTTGGTGTGATAAATATGAAGGACATAATCTAGTCCTCAGGAACATGTGGTGACCACATACTCGAATGTTGTGAATATCCATGTCTCCCTAGTACATGTTTGGAGATATGCACCTCTCCTCTATACATCATGTGTTTTCTCCAGCAAATTCCAGTTGGACACTAGTATTCCTGTGCTGAATAAAGGACCAAAAGCCCCTAAGTAAGTCAGGGATGAGGGTGAGGTGGGCTTACCTCCTAGTCAATGTGCTTAGGAGTAAACTCATTGGAACTCAGTGCAAAATAATTCCAAGTTAGAACACATTGGCTTGTCCTGTTACGGATTTGTGGGGAGGAAAAGCACCTCTTATACTGCCCTGCTTTTTTAGAAGCGTAACTAGAAGGCCAACCAGTTCAAGGCCAAGCTAGCAGCAGTGTAGTAAATGTCCATCCATACATAATAAGAGTTGCAGGAGGATATGTTTTCTCTTTCACAATGTAACTGCATATTTGAGCAGTGAAGCAAATAAAAGGAATTGGGTCAGAGAACAAGAGACACTGAAAACAAGGATCATAAGACAAATAGCTATGGAGCTTATTTAACTAAAAGGAAGCCATAATGAAGCGACTGAAGGAAGTAAAGGAAATGGCTGGAATACCTATACAGCTGAATGTGCAATGGATATACATCGAATGCACACTGCCCAACATCTCCTCTCAGAGTCGCGCTTCTGTTATGGGGATAGAGCCCAAATTCCAGCACACAAACAGCAATACTTCATACTTAGGAAATATGCCCTTTTTCCCTAGATCAAGGGTGATGAACCCCTGGGCCGGATATGGCCCACAGCTGGATTTCATCTGGCTCCTTAGGTTCTCCTCCTGCCCATCAGCAGGAAAAAGCGGAGAGGGAAAAGAGTTTTGATGTTCTGCAGAATGGTCAATTGCAACTGTGTTTTCTGAAGGAAAACCAAAGCCAATGGGGAAATGTCCCAACAGAGAGGTAGACTCATTTGCAGATTTGCTCAAAATGTCCATGCATTTTGAAGTTGGATGCGTGTAGTTTTGGGGGGGGGTGCAATTGCATTTTGAAGTTTGAGGCTCTGAATAGCTGTAAAGCAAGGCTTGCAGTTCAGCTGTGCATTCAACTGAGTCTTGACATTATTTGCATTCTTCTGCTGGGATTACAGAGTTCTTTTTGCATTTTGCACAGCTAGTACAGATAAAGGAGGTTGGAGAGCTTTATAAACAAACTTTGTTGGATATTTTTTTTAAAAAAAAGTCTATGGAGAAAATGGAAGGGTAAAGCGAGTGGCACTGCTAAAAAAAATATTTCTCATTTTCCATAGGAAACGGCTGCTTGTGCCTCAACCCCCTTTTGGGTCTGGCCCAGTGTAGGTGCTACACAGCCTCCTATTGGAAATTGCTTAAATCATCAGCTAGCTAAACTGTTGCTCGGAGAGCCTATATTTTTACCGCTCACTATGGCTTATCATGACATGCAATCTGGAGCAATGTTTCAAAAAGCCATACATATTGAGATGTCAGCAATATGCAACTGCATCAAAATGTAAAATCAAGTTGGTGCATGTCTACTCAGAAGTAAGCCCCACTGATTTGAGCAGGACTTCCTTCCAAGTAGCATGCATAGAATAACAGCCTAATTGGCTACTCAGTGGAAAAGGAAGATGTTCAGCCAACCACCCAATTCTAATTTAAATGCTTGACAGCCCTGACATACACTTGTATAAAGTGTGTTGAGCATTAATGGCTCTCCATCATTATCTCACAAAGGTGGATTATATTCACTTAATTAACCTTATCAACAAGGTATTTACAGTACTCAATGCTGAAATAAAATGTACATTGGAAGTAAAAGTACCTATCTTCCGCACATTTACCTCCCTACCAAATACATCACCATCAGAAAAGGTAGCATTTCCTAGACTGGACCCGTGAGTGGGGAGATGGTCTACAAGTAGAGCTTCAGTACTGTGCTTTCTGCTAATATCTGACCCAACTCCCTGCTATGACTGCTGATCATGAAGGATTTTAGAATATACAGCTTTTAAAAAGCGGAAACTTGTTTTAGCCCGTGGATCACCCCAGCCTGGATCAGGGCCAACGCCTATTGTACAGCACGGTACAATATAAGATAGGATACGACACAGTATAAATAAGAGATAAATCTTTAGTTTTACATTGTGTTTGCGTTTATAGGTAATTTCCTCAGATATTCCCCGTCCAGTATCAGCTCCCTAACTGAAAAGTTTATTTAGATTACTGTTCTACTAGATAAGATAAAAATGGAGATAACATGCGCCACAGAAATCTACTCGCTTGCAAGCATGGATACTATTTTGTCACTTACCCCTGAGGCTGTGGTTTGTGTGCTAGGGGAAGCATTTTTTCGGCAGTCATCTGAGTTCGTAGAAGACGTGGAAGTTGGAGTCATAGGAACGGCATTATTGCTATTATTACCTGCAACGGAAGCACCCAGGTTAGAACTCTGCGTTCTCCAGATGGACAAATCTCTGCCCCTCCACAAACTCTTTCATTATATTTACCCGAGCATGACTTTGTCTTAGCCAAGTTCTTTGGTTTTCGTTTCCTGGTTTGAATTCCCTCTTTCTTCATAGCAAGGGGTCGGGGCACCTAAAATGCAATACCCCCAAAATTTAAAAAAAATCTGAAATTTGTTTTCTCTTTGGATACATTAGAGACATCCTACTATAAGCAAAATTACAGTGAAAATAATGGCATTAGGACATAATGTTTGATTCATTATGTAACCACTATTCATGTAAAATTTCACTATTTTTCTTTCTCCAGTTCTACACCCCATAGGTACACAGAGGAGCGGTCATAGGATATGGTTTTTGGTTTTTTTATATCTGGCTGGCAAACAGTGACACTCGATTCTGTAATGGACATTGTACTCTGTGCAGATATAGAGCTGCGTTGTGCATATATGTGTGGGATCTTTCAGGCCTATAAACCTTATCCATAATCAGCATCCTTAAGAAGATGGTAGAATGGCAGTCTCATTTTGGGTGGCAGTGTTGGGAACAGTGCTAGACTCAGTCCAACCATTTCTCATCCATCTACTAAATAGTTGGGCCTTTCCCATCAAACTTGCAGCCTCTCTTATCAAAAGCCTTTCCCTGCAAACTTGCATTCATTTCTCTCGATTGTCTGCACTATTGAAGAACTTCTATGTGGCTAGAAGGTTTTACATGTGGAGTAAACCAGTGGTTCCCAGTTCGCTAAGTACTGCAGAGCCCCCGTTTTTCAAAAGCCAAGCAATGGAACCCCTACTTTTGAAAACTTTGATATCTCTATCATAGTTTTTGTTATGTGAAGGGTGCCACAGACACCCTGAGTGGGTTATGCGGACACCCCTAGGGCAGACGGACCACTCATTGGGAACCACTGGAGCAAACTATTCCTTCAAAGTGAAGACTGTTCCCTTTCTCCGAAATAGAATTTGCACTTTTAGAAGTGCCACATAATGTCTGTTCCACATTTGCAAAGAAGTTGATATTTTAATGCGGCAGAACCTGTGCTTTGGAATTCCTGACTCTTGACAATAGGCAGGAATCCTCGCTATCTTGTTTTAGATGCCTAATGAAAACTTTTTTTTGTTTTGGCAAACCTATCCCAACACATAATTTCATTGGCTATATTTGTTTTAAATGTGTAACTGATGTTAACTTTGTTTTAATGATCGTTTTATGTATATTTGTGTTTTCTAATTGTTCTGTGGTTTTTTGGTTGTGCTTCATCTACGATTATATCTGTACACTACTAAAACCACTCTTCCATTAAGTGGTTCATAAATCTCCCAACTACTAAACCAATAAATAATACCCAAGACCTCTCAGCAGCAGCAATCAGTGACTTCTGTTTTCTGTTTAAATTACTCTTTACTGGAACATTAAATGATGGACTGCGACATCACGTGGGGCTGTGGATTTCTCTATTGACATCCCCTATCATTTAGTAGCTATGTACAATTGCAAACATGCAAAATAAAAATAAAAATGGGAAGGATAAGAGATGCTCTCCCCACCCCAATCTCCTTTCACCCTCCTAGCAGAGTTGGACTTGGGTCTCCTGTGAAACTAAATGCATGTTCCATCTCAGGAATGGTGTGCTGGATGGCCATTAAGCATGCATCAAGCAAGGACTGAAACAGCTCCTGATAATATGAAGTAGCTGCTCACCCCATGAAGTTTCATGTACAGGCCACAGGCATTGCATACGGGCTCTCCTTCTGCATTCCTGCGCCAGAGGGTGGTGGTCGTAGTGTGACAGTTGGCGCAAGACAAACCCATTCTTCTCGAAGAAGGCTAAGAGGCAAGCACAAGGAAATGCCAAATCAATACAAAGACATGTGGGGAGAGCTCTTCTGCACATAAGCAGTAGCAGGATTGCATATAGACCACAAAACTGGCTTCAAAAGAAATAGAGAGAGAGAGAGAAACAGACAGACAGACAAACAAACCATTAAGCCGCATTAAACAGTTGGTCCCTTACCTTTCCTGCCCCGATCTGGCCACAGCGATCCATTTGCCGGTCACCATCTGGCTTGACAATTGTATGTTCTTGAAACTGCCCCTGAAACTGGCCTGGACACTCCAGTGGGTGCAGAATGCTGCAGCGAGGCTCCTCACAGGGTCCCTGCCATGGGAGCATATTCAGCCAGTGCTTTAACAGTTGTACTGGCTCCCGGTGGAGTATCGGGTCAGGTTTAAGGTCTGGTTTTGACCTTTAAAGCCCTTTGTGGCTTAGGGCCCTCGTATTTACGGGACCGCCTCTCCTGGTATGCCCCGCAGAGGACCTTAAGGTCCATGAATAATCATAGTTTAGAGGTCCCAGGCCCTAAGGAAGTCAGATTATCCTCCACCAGGGCCAGGGCCTTCTCAGTGATGGCTCCAACCTGGTGGAATGCTCTGATCCATGAGACCAGGACCCTGCAGGATTTAACTTCCTTCCACAGGGCCTGTAATACAGAACTATTCTGCCTGGCTTTCAATTTGAACTTACCCTGATCTTTTATTCCCCTTCCCTCCCTCCCCTCCCCTTTTTCTGAAGATTACCCACTCTGGAATCCCACAGCTAATTCTCCCCTGGTCTCCTCGCTGGCCCAAATAGGACTAATTTAGCCAGCTAGCCCTGGTGATCATCTACTGTTTATTGGATGGATTTCCCCCCTAAATTGATTTTTGAATTCTAAATTTATTGTTATTCATGTTTTGTACTGTATTTTATGCTGTTTTTTGTTGCATCAATTAAGAGTTTTAAATTTAAATTTATTGTTTCTGAACCGGGAAGGGTGGGGTATAAATAAAAATTTATTTATTCATTTATTAATTTATTTAAGCGGTAGAAAAGGAAAGAGACTCAAAGGTTTAATGGGCCAACACATTTCAAAAATATATTCTCCATGGTCACTCAAACACACAATGCCATATTTTCTACCATGCGAATTCATTTGGTTACACAGTATGGTTGAAGAAAAAGTTGTGCCCCTGAGTAAGATTTTTTAAAAAACATGTTAGGCCAGAGGTTTTCAACCTTTTTAATCCACAGTTCCCTTGACCAACTACATTCTTTCTGCGGCACCCCTGTGGGATCAGGAGCCCAGTTATGTCACCCCTTGCCTGCAGAGCTGGCAGCCTCTCACCCTTTTTCAAACACCCTCCTTTGTGGAGTGTTCCCTCAGCCTCCTCTCCCCTCTCCTTGCAAGTCCTCTGGGCAGCGTCCCTGGTCTCTGAGCTGCCCTCCCTGCCCCAAAGAGAGGTGCCTCCTCACACTGCCCCACAGGGGCCTAGGAAGCACCCCCTGGCCAGCCCCAGCGGCACCATTCGCCTGGGGAGCTTGTAGCAAGCGCTACTGCAGCAAACAGCTGTGCAAGCCTTGGGGAGGCAGAGACGCAAGAGGGCATCAGAAGAGGGAGGGAGGAAAGAGGGACAAAGACCAGTGTTGCCCACAGCACCACTGACCATCACTTGGTTGAAAAGCACTGTGTTAGGCAATTTTTCTGAACGCTTTTCAAACTTCCATCTCTCCCCTCAGCTCTCCAGTAAATTGGCTAGCCACTTACTTTTATGTCTTTGTTCCCACCAAGAAGCAAAACTAAAATATCTTGCTCCCCCCTCCTCCTGAACCATTAGTTTCAGTTTCTGCCACTTCTTCCAGCCCCCCCCCAAAAACAAGTGTTTTGGGAGCATCTGAATATATTAATCATCTTCCAGTAATTCATGCAAAGAGCTATGTGGAATAATTAACATTCCAAAATACTTTGCAGAAGTGGGCTTTAATTGTTGTTTTTTGGAAGGGGGTGTCAGTAAACTCAAGTATAGCAGAGCAGCCTATATTATAAACAAGTCATTTATGGCACTGTTCAGTGGAGTTTGGAGCAAAGATGAAGCAACTCTACATCAGAAATAACCGTACAACAAAGAGCTTTACAACCACAGACCATAGATCATAAGTAAAGCTGCTCCCATAAACATGTGAAATGAAGGTGAAGGGGTTATAAAATTTCCTGTAACAAGTGATCTCTTTTCCATTAATCATGGGCAAGAATTTCAGCTACATCATAAATCTGCTGTTTTGCACAAGTACTCAAACATTACAAAAACACAGACTCACTGACTATAGATTTACAAACTAACACATTTGCAGGGAGAGGGGGGAGAATCCGTTACAGAAATAAGTATTTTTGTCATCCAAGATTGTAAATGATGACACTCTGGGAAAAATGAATTTGTTCAGGTTCCACCCACCTTTCTTTCTGCACAATTTGCCAGTTTGGCTCTACTGAGACAACTGACACATAAAAAAAAAAAAAAATAACCATTGTCAAAATCTGTTTAGAATATTACTGTTTCTTTATCTTTTGTCACTTTTATAATGAAAATGCATAGAAGAAACAGTAGGGGGAACCACAGAATTTTATTATTACTTAAAATGATTTTATTACTAATTGTGTTATTCTAAGGATAATATTAGATTCTCAGCACTCATTCTGGAAAATGTATATTTCTAGTTTTTATGGTTCCAGGATTCTCATTTGTTCCAATGGCTCAGGAGCAAATTGACCAATGTTTCTCAACAATGATCATCATTTAGAGGTGGCAGTTGTAGGGCACATCATTAAAGTTCATATAAATTAGATAATATTGGAAGCTATTAAAAGAAATGTACAAATTATTTCCATGAAATGGGCTACTGCATAGTCGTGTCTTCTTAAAAAATATATGACCATATATAAAAGATAAGATGTATGAAATAACTCAAGGTTCCTTTTCACTTATTTGGAATTAATGGAGGTATTTTTTATTCCTGTATTGTGGGCATTGGGGCGGCACAGGAAGACTTTCTTCCTCCTAATTAGATTATGCGCTACTTGATGAAATTAGGTAGATAACCAGTTACAAAACTCCTCCTGTTACTAACTTTGAAAATCCCTTTGTCCATGGGGGCACCACTGAATAGATGGTAATCAGGTGAGGAAAGTGTGACTTTTAAAAGCTCATTGTCTACCTTGGCTGGTTTTGTTTGTTTGCCTTTGAAAAGATTGTGTCATCTTAACGCAGCCTAAATAAGATTAGCATTGATTAAATTTATGGTAATCAGGATTACAACATAAACGAAATGCAGTTCAAAATCTGTAATGGTTGGCTGAGATGACACAGCCTAAGTAAGAAGAGTATTGATTAAGTAAAATGCAATAGTAAAAAAGCAAAAATCTCTAATAGCACATTATTTCATATGGGAGGAGAATGAATATATTCTAGTTGCAAGGGAGGAAATTTGAAAAGTCTTTCTGTTAGTTATTGGTTAGCTATAATTTTTTTTTATCTTGCCTTCCAAATGTATTTTTCTGGGCTATTTACATAACATTCATGTAAAACAACATGAAAATTCAAAAACTAGCTGGAAATAATAATAGTGCAGTGTAAAATAGTCATTGGCTAAATGAGGTTTCAAATTATGGGGATTTTAAAAAATGTTATTTACCTGATTGTAGATGCCAGGTAAACTTCCATCTACAATCCAGGGTAACTGAATAACCCTTAAAAGCCATCTGAGAAAGAGGGAAGTCTTCAGAGGCTGGAATTTTTTTCTTTGATAGGGTCCCTAGTTCATCCTAGTGATTTTACACATGTGCATTTCTATTTAAAAGTCAAAGGCTGCATTTTGACTATGTGAAGACCTTCTGTTGACGCTTACGGGGTTTTACTTCCAGGTCATTAGGCGTCAGACTAAAGGGTTTGTGTGAATCCAAATCACCTCACTCCCAGCCAAATGCCAGCATCCTAACTGCTACAATACCCTCTTATGAGTTCACTGTTCTCAAATTCTAATTAACTGGTTATTGTGCTATGCCCTACTACTCTCTAGGAACCATGAGTACATTTATATGTTTGTAGTGTAACACAGCCCCCTGAATTTTTGGACTACACCACTGCTAGTCCCCCCCCCATCTCATCTTACTCTGTTGGAGGCGTCTAGGGAAAAAGTCTGACGGTGACATGGGATTTTTCACACCCTCTTTAAATATCAGCTTGGCTATAAGCAGAGCCAGGGCATGCATTTTGCTGTTTGAGACAACAAGATGGAGCTCCCTCAGCTCCATACACAAAGGCCAACGGGACTGACAGGAGAATCATACTTCAACATGAAGCAAGGATAGTGTACATGAGGGCAGCTGCCTTGATTGGGGAGGACAGGACAGGCTGTGCTGTTTACACACACTTCCCTCCCTCACGAAAGGCTGGCTCCAACTGAGCCATGTCTGGTCCTTAGACACTTTGGAACTCCCTTCTTATTGACATCAGGCAGGGGCCCTCCTTAATCTCTTTACAGTGCCTGATTAAAACATTTTTGTTTAGGCAAGTCTACTAGGAAATGTAGAAAATGAAATTAAAAGATATGTCTTTGGGGCTTATTGTTGATTTTGACTATCTTTTGAATGTGTTTAAATATGTGCTGTGAACAGAATTTTACTGATCACAGCAACATTTTGTTTTGTAACCTACTCGGGCGTTTTATTACAATCAAGCAGTATAAAACTTCTGCTCAATCAATCAATCAATCAATCAATCACTTCAGTCATTTGATTCACTCAATTTATTGGCTTTTATTAACCAGGGAGAGAGAAAGAGAGACAGATTGAGGGGTGGTAAGGGAGTGTGTGTATAAATTAGACATTGAGAGCCCCAAAGAGGAAAGAAGGCAGAGTCAGAACCTTCAGCCTTTCAAGAAAAATTCTGGCAGGGTTTGTGCTTGGAAATGACCCCCCCCCCAGCCTTCAGACTTGGCTCTGGCCGTAAGTGACACATGCATACTTCCTTCTGACACCAAGAAACACCCCCAGCAGCAGAAACTAGCCCTGAACTAGGAGAGGTGAGGGCGAAAGGTGGAAAGGGGCCTCTTAGCCCAAAGCCTCGCCCAAAATGGTCACATCAAAGAGGGAGTGAGGCTTTAGTGTACTAGTCCCTCTGCCCAGAGGTCAATTCTGGGCCAGGTCTCACCCTCATGGGTGAGAGAAATTTTGTGGGATGGAGTAGCAGGATGAACTCTCAGGTAAAGGAGTTTTCCCATTAATTCCCCCCCCACACACATACTTCCATGGAGGAAAGTGACAAATTGAGTGATTGATTGATTGATTGATTGAGAGCAACAGAGAATCCTAGACTCCCTTACTTCCCAACACCTCAGCTCATTAACCTTACAGTGATTATTATTTACCGGACATTCTCATGGAGTGAAAAATCACTCCTGCAGAGTATCTTACTCCTGAATTGCTTTTATTGTGCTATGATATCTCAATGAAGAATGGCAGCATTTGGGATATATTTGTTTCCTGGGTCAAACTTAAATGATGACAAAGTAGAAACTTGTCAGGAATGTTTGGGGAACATATTTTATGAATTGCTTAATTCTGGAGAATTAGTGGTTTCTACTCCTAGTGCGCACTGACATACTTTGAATTCCTGAAAATCCAGCCCTAAAAATCTCAAGGCTTATTAGACAGTGGTGAGGATCACAATTTTGTTTCTGAAACACAGGATATGCTCACAGTCCTTATGATCTGGCAAAAAATGCTTAAGGTAACCAAGTCCTTTTGGTCCTTTTACCAGAACCAAACAGATAACAACTGTCTATATACCAAAACTACAATTAGGCTATTCCCCATCCTCAATTAGCATAATAATAAAATCCTGAGAAATGAAGATTGGATTCAAGCAGCTCCATTAATTTCCTAGCACTAGCAATATTTAATTACATCCCAGTCTTAATCTCACTATATGGTTAGTGAGGATTCCTTCATTTTTTTGCTAAATAACTGGCCTCAGTTGCAGGGTACTGTTGAGAAAAACATGTCTAAAGTCCACATAAGCTTTTGGAACTTGCCCCATGCATTTAAGATTTGTAGTACACCTTACTGCATATATCTTCCCCAGAAATAAAACTCACCGAGTTAAAATTTAAAAGAATGTATGTATGATTGAACCCCCTGTGAGTGTCGTGTTTCAATCATTTCATTTCATTTCATTGCTAAATCCAAGTTCAAGTTGGCTACTTCTAGAAAACAGCCTAATTTAGGTCGTGTTTCAATGAATGGCAGAACTGGACGAAAATCCAAAACCCGAGCCTTTGATTTTTGTAAGACGTTTGTTTGCAGTGCAAACGTTTAAAGTACAACTTCTTTCAGGACGTTTTTAACTGTGTAACTGCTTTTAGATTTTTCGGATTTTAATTGCCATCTGTTTGTCAGGGCAAACCTTCCACACAGCAAGTAGCTCTTAAAATGAAGCAGGAAGTTGTGGTTCTGATACCGTGGGTCTGCACAGGGCTATTGATTTCAAGCAGCTTGTTTTGCAATAGAAAAATATTGAAACGCAATGTTTAAGCAGGAGGGGGAGAGGGTAAATGAATTCATGGATCTGGGTGGAGACAGGGAAAAGACCCTTCAGTCTTTCACCCACCCCACTGATACTCACCACTCTCTTATGAGGCTTGATGAGAGGCCTGCTAAGTCCATTCATTTTGGTGTACAGCCCACAAGCATTGCAGAGATAGTTACCAGTTCCATCCCTTCTCCACAGGGGGGTCTGGTAGGAGCCACAGTTGACACATTCCCGGCTCTCAGAGAGATCCTCCAGAAGCTCTGTGGCGGAGAGGGGCAAAGAGGCTGGGTTAGCTTGGAAGTCATGCAGAGTCTCAGCTGACTGCTCTGGAGTTATCTTGCCCCTCTCCACCCTCAAAAAAGAAATCAGCTGGATTGCTCTCCCTCCCCAAAGACAGAGTGGCTAGTCCCATCACATCCAGTGGCCGAGGAGCGCACCCCATGGATTAGCATCACAGTCAAAACAGCAAAGTGAAAAAAGCCACACTAAATTTCCAAGTGGGGCCCTGCAGCCCCCCAATCAATCCATATCTTCACAGAAGGATTCAAAGTGCACATTAGATACATTTAGAAGCTGCAGTCGTCCTATCCAACTTTACCTGGGAGTTAGCACCAATGAACATAGCAGGACTTACTTAAAAGTAAACACACATATGCTGTCTGGCTGCAAGCTCGCTGAGCTAAGAGAATAAAATCAACTTCTGAGTAAAGTGGTTAGGATCAGATTCTGCTCAGAAGCCTAAAACCAGTGGAGCTCCCCTCCCCCCCGAATGAAGTTCAGCAAATTAAATGTCTTTAATAATATTTATAACAGCTTTTCTCCAAGGCGCAACGTATAGATAGCTATTCCCCCTGCTCATTTTACAATCACAACAACCCTGTGTAGGGTAAGAGGTAGTGAATGGTTCAAGATCAACCAAACAAAGCTTCATGGGAGGGGATTTGAACCCAGATCTCTCTCCCCACCCCCCAGTCTAAGTCTGACACTAAAACCCCAAGGCAGCACACTTTCCAAAGTAGTTCCCAGAGTCATTTCTGACAGCAAAAACAGAGACTTCTTGCGGCATCTTAAAAACTAGCAATTTTATAGTGGCACAAACTTAAATGGATGTGAATCTTTTTCATATCCATGTAAAGGTAAAGGTAAAGGTACCCCTGCCCGTACGGGCTAGTCTTGCCAGACTCTAGGGTTGTGCGCCCATCTCACTCTATAGGCCGTGGGCCAGCGCTGTCCGGAGACACTTCCGGGTCACGTGGCCAGCGTGACATCGCTGCTCTGGCGAGCCAGCGCAGCACACGGAACGCCGTTTACCTTCCCGCTTGTAAGCGGTCCCTATTTATCTACTTGCACCCGGGGGTGATTTCGAACTGCTAGGTTGGCAGGCGCTGGGACCGAACGACGGGAGCGCACCCCGCCGCGGGGATTCGAACCGCCGACCTTTCGATCGGCAAGCCCTAGGCGCTGAGGCTTTTACCCACAGCGCCACCCGCGTCCCTTTCATATCCATGTACAGTACTATAATTCTCAGTTGCAGGTATATACACACACACACACACACACACACACACATACACACACCATTTTTCTTCCATTATAGAACCCAAAGTAGTGTGCATACAGTTCCCATGCAGCCACACAAACCCCCACCCGGACCTTCTTAGCTGGGATGTAGGCAGAATAAGCTCAGTGACCCTTTAAAAACTTAGCACCAAGCGTCAAAGAAACAACTGGGTTTTTCTGGTTTTAGCTGTTCTCATTTTTATATGTAAGCCATCTTGAGTCTCCTGTCAGGGAAAAGGGGGTGGGGGTAATAAATAAGAAGCAGAAACAATCAAATGCTGGTGATTTTAAAGGGAGGCTCCAGGTTGAAACTGAATTGCAAGTCCCCAAGGAGTCCGAATGTGATCATTTGGGGCTTGATCAGACCCAAAGGAGCAGAGCTGAAATTAAGGTGTGAATCACGTTTCCCTAAGGGGCCTCCCTTTGACATTCCTTTACAGCCACCTTAACATCAGTGACAAGAGAGTCCCGGCAGACCGAAATGTTCTCCTCTTGGTTTATATATTGCCATTGCTGGTGTCAAATTTGTATCTCCCTATTCCTTCACACAGAGACTGGCCTGTTTGCCTTAGATGGGGGGGAGGGGCAGATAGTGGTGTATATAACTTTGCAAGATGAGCAGATCAATGAACCCCTGATATTGTGTTGCCAGAGTAGGCACAGGGAGAGAGTGGCCCTCCCTCTATCTGGCCTTGTTGTTGGATCTGGTTCCTGCGCCTGGAACTACTGAGAGGCTGTTTTAGGTTGGGGACATAGAGGTCTGTCTGCAAGAGAACAGTCCTGCCAGCCAAGATGTAACCGGCTCCCATTCCTTCCCATTCCCATCAACCATCTACTTGGACACTAAATTTGCAGAGTATTCTCCCATCTTGATCTTGCGTGTCCTTGGTACTGTTCAATAATGAAAGCAATAAATGGATCCTGCCGCCCTACTTCTCTGGCTTGCATTCAGAAACAATAAGCCTGCCTTTACTTCGCAGCAAATTGTAAAAACATGATCCTTTCAATTGGGGCTTAAAAAAATAAATTCCAATTTAGAGAGGATTGCAGTCATGAGTGTCACCACAGCAGCCGGAGGGAAGGTCAGGTATCTCTTTCGCAATGCTGCAATCCCCTTCCTCCTTCTCTCCCACCCAAGTCAGGCGCTCTGGTCAAGAAATGGGAGGCAAATTCAGCATTTGCTGAATCTGGGTGTTCCCTGGAAAACTCGAGCCAGCAGCCTTGGAGGCGAGGAGAACCGCAGGCAGGAAGGCGGTCGTGCCCTCTCCTCCCCCCCAGTCCTTTGCGGTTCTTCCCCAGCTACTATCTCGTCTTCCGACGTGACTGCTTTGAATAGCTCGCATGTCTCCCTTCCGTCTGCGGGGATCGGCTCGCGGCAGCGGGCTCAGGAAAGAGATCACCCAAAGCAAGCTTTTAAAAATCCAGCAAAATTAGTTTCTGCCTTTGGTTTTGGCGATGCTTTCTGGCTTCAGCAACTTTTTGCGCTGTTCTCACAGCAAACGCTGCGCAAAATGCTAAGTAAACCTTAGCAATTTCAGATAGGCTTCCTTCCGAGTAAGGATGGAGACCCAAATGGGAAAACAACAGGACTTGCCCAGGAAACACGGTGCATTTGCGGTGCAATGCTTACGAGTGGTGCCTTGACTCAGAAGTAAATCTGCACTTGCTCCATGGGGCTAACTCTAGAATAAGTGCGTTTAGGATTGCCGCCTTAAGCACCTTTTATTTTAATTTGTCCCTGTCTTCTCCTCTCTGAAGAGATTTAAATCGGAGTCACTTCGCAATTCGCGCGCGCTCCTTGGTTTACACCGCTTATCTAGACTGAGGGTCCCTTGCTGGGATCGCGACCTGGAACGTTAATAACTCAATTTCTGCGATCGCTCCGGATTTCCTTGAAATCCAAGCCAAAAAATGGCGTGGCTTATAACGGAGGACAACGTGTTCCCGACCCTAAGTCGAGGGCTGGGAATTCCCTGTCGCGATTTTCAAAGCCGCAATTTCCCCAGCGCATTTCTCTGTAGATCTATAGATACAAGGGTTTTTGTTTTTCATTTCCAGGGATCCGCATGCAGCCCGATCTTGGGCAAGCTTACTTGCACAAAGTCAGTCCCTCCGAGTTCAGCGGTTCTTAATGCCGCGTAAGTGAGCCTCAGAATACATGCACTTAATGGGGAGTTCGCCCCCTTGAATGCGCTGGAATTTATTGTCAAAACTGGATACATAGTTGGAGTAATTGCAGCTTTCCCCTCAAGGAGAGCGTGCCTTTATTGATGGATTAATAGAAACCTTTATAGACCGCCTCGTGAAATATCAAGGCGGTGTCCAACATAAATGTGCAAGTGCAATAAAACATAACATGCATTTTTATATAAAAACGCGGGTTATTGATTCTAATAAAATTATATTGAAATCGGTGGGTGATTTAATTATGCTTGGGATCAGGCTGCTCCAGGCTCCCTTGAAATCCCCACTATTTGCCTTTGGGGCCAAGTTGCAAGGGGCTTTAGCCCCCCAAGCAGCTTCTTTGGAAAGGGGGAGGAAACTCCATTTAAATCAATGGACGGGGAGACGATTAAGTCGCTGCGAAAGCCTAACGTTCCCCCCCCAAAAAAAATCCATGTACTTCGTTGGAGAACGGGATGTTGAGAGGACCTGGAAGGTTTCTGGCAAATCCCAGGGGACGTTCTCCCCCCCCCCCACCCCCTAAAACTTGCGGAACTGAAATAAAAGGGGTCTGTGGAAAAGCGCAGGCAGGCGACATACTGAGAAGCTTCTGCAAAAGATCGGAGGTTTTGCCTCTGTGCAAAGGTCGGCCCGCTTCTGACTATTTTTCTGACCAGAGGACAGAACTGGACTTAAGCTGCGAGTTGAGAGGTATTGATGGTGTCGAAGTGGATGCGAATTGCGAAGGGAGTTGGAACGATCAACTCCAGAGGCCTAGCCGCGTTTCTTTGTTACCGCAAAAATAAAATAAAATGCTAAAACCAACCTGCCAGCCGGAGTTCATAATCACAGAAGTCCATGCCATTAAAAAAACCAAAACACCTCTTAGGTTACAATCAAATATCCGTTTTCCTGGGAGTTCGCCCCATTGAATTAAACGGGACTCCCTTGTGAATAGATCTGCATAGGAATACACTGTCCCTTTTAAGATGCCACCAGATTTTTTTTTTGGGGGGGGAGGGGTAATTTCAAGTAAATTGATGGCACCTTTGGGGAAAAGCCGTCCCCTGAGTGTCCCTAGGCACCCGCCAAGTATGTCTGCTGCTGATCACAGCCTGATTTTATCACAAAAGTTCAGTCACCGCAAGATAAGTCCGTATCTAGAGAATATATGATCCTTCTCCCTCCCACCCCACAAGAAACAATATCCCAGTTTTTCAGTCTTTCTGGGAATCCATGGTTAATTCTCAAAGGGGTTTCCAGAAAGCAGAACCCGGCCCCCACATATAAAATCTCCCTGCTACCGAGAGGAACTAGAGAAATGCCGTTCCTGCTTTTTCCTACTTGGAAATAATTGGTTACTGTTGAAAGTCACCGGATCATTGCCTTAGGAGAAGCCGATGGAAAATGGGCACGACTGCAAGCCTGGAAGTAACTTTCCTCCCATTGAGCTCCCTGCGCAAATAGCTTGAAACAGTTTCAACGGCCTCTCCTGTCCTTTACCTGCTTCGCAGCCCTAGGTTTCTGCTCTTGGGCA